TACTCCTTAGCTGATTGAAGCCGTACTAATTGAAGTTTTCGCTGTTTTTCCTTAGCTTCATACGTATGTAAGTACATATTTAAAACTTTTAAATCCCCGAACATCATGACACGAGCCATTCAGATTAGTCTGGAAGTATGGTTTGCAGGGATCGTAGTACCACACACATTTCATGGAGCAATAACAACACAACAACAAGTTTAAGAAAAGTAGTATAAATTAAACGAAAAAGAAAATTTTAATTTAAGAAAACTAGTTAAATAAAACACAAATAATATTTTCGTGATAAAGGCCTCTGAGACAACTTTTTTTAAAAGCTTTAAATAAATAAAATCGAATATATATATATATATATATATATATATATATATACTCAACAAACCTTAAATCTTTAGACTTAAATTTATGTATGATGTTTCTAGCAATAACAGTATGTCAAAAGTAAGTTGCTTCTTGTGTCATAAGACATGGGCAAAAGAAGGCATAAAACTGTTCCATGTACCTAAGCACGAATTAAAAAGAAAAAAATGGGCGGAGTCGTGTGGTGTGGAGTTTAAACCTTGGGCGAAAATATGCGCCCTTCACTTTTCCACTGCGGATTTTGTGTCTGGTTCAGACCAAAAAAGAATTAAATTAAGCCTCGATGCTGTCCCTATGGTAGTCGAAATGGTCAATGATTCAAATGTTTCGGAGTTTTCTTCGAAATTTGTTGACGCCTCAACACAGACTCAGTAACTATGATAAAAGTAAATTAAAATTGATATAAAGTATATATACATATCTGGTTTAGATTCGGCACAGATCACAGCATCGCATTATTGGAAGCAGAGATTGCGGCGCTAAAGGCTCAAGTGGCTGAGTTGAAAAGCCTTCGAACGAATCTGCAAACGATTTTCACAGAAGGTCAAATGCGAAAGATCGAAAATCCGAAAAAAACAATCCATTGGTCTTGGAAAGACATGTCGTCAGCCATACCGCTGCATTCAGCCGGACCAAGAGCCTACACCCATTTACTTAAGCATGGATTTCCTCTTCCATGTCAGTCGTCTATGGCGAAATGGTGCCAAAAGCTTAAGTTTGAAGACGGTGTCTTGAGCTTTTCATTGAGCGTAATGCGCAGCGCAAGTGGCATGTCAGTGGGTGACAAACTTTGTATTTTAGCTTTCGATGAAATGAAAGTGGAGCCTGCTTATGAGTACGATTCGCTCACAGACACCGTTCGAAAGCCAAGCAACTATGTGCAAGTGGTCATTGCTCGAGGACTTAAGCGCTCTTGGAAGCAACCTGTTTTTTTCGCATACGACTGCAGGATGACGAAATCGATTATGTTCAACTTGATTGAACAGCTCCAAGAGGTAGGCTATCCTGTTGTGGGGGTTGTTTCGGATATGGGAGGAGGGAATTTAGCCCTTTGGAAAGAGCTTAATGTTTCCAACGGTATGTGAATTTTTCGAGCTCTTTCATTCAGTACATTTATAGTTTTGTATACCTTTTAGAACAAACATGGTTTTCGAATCCTACAACTGACGGGAAGGTTTTTGTTTTTGCCGATGTACCACATTTGCTTAAGCTATTGCGAAATCATTACAACGATAATGGGCTTGTATTTCAAAACGTTCTGTTGTCGTCCCGGAGCATTTCCGACTTGCTAGCACATACATCGGTCTCGGATGTCTCCATAAGCCATAAAATTTCTAACCGCCACCTAACAGTCCACCATGCTGAACGACAAAAAGTCAAACTTGCTGCGCAACTTTTTTCGCATAGTACAGCTAGCGCTTTACGTCGTTGTTTTAGTTTAGGACTTGACGTATACATGGCATGCGAAACAGCGGACTACTTTGAAATCGTCAACGATTGGTTCGATTTACTAAATTCGAAACTTACAACGATGCAGTCATTTCCATCCACCAAACCGTTTGGAATGTGTTTGTCGGAGCAGCTGGAAATCGTTTCCAAAATGGACAACTGCATGCAGCACACGCGGGCTTTTGGGAAAAATTGTTTGTTACCTTTCCAAAAAGGTGTGTTAATGACAAACGAATCACTGAGGGGTTTGTATCAGTACGTGCAGGAAAGGTATGGTATGGAATACATCGTAACATACCGGCTAAACCAGGATGTTGTGGAAAATTTTTTCGGGGCAATGCGTGCGAAAGGTGGGCTACATGATAACCCCACCCCCATGCAGTTTAAATACCGACTGCGGAAATATCTTCTAGGTAAATATATATTTTTTTTTAACCAGTTTATGTATGTATTTATACATTTACATATTTCGCGACTTTCTTATATTGTGTTAAAATAGCACGGAATACGGAAGCCCTCTCAGCACGCGGCAATGTAGAAGCTGATGATACGCAGTGGCTGGACTTCGACGCGCTAGACGATCAAAGCAGCTTTTTAGGCGAACACGAGGACGCTAGTGGCGAAGATCGTTTAGTTGAATCGGATATGCAGGACATCGAGGTTTTACACGAAGACGCGCTAGAGTATGTTGCGGGTTACATAATCCGCAAGCTTTGTCTCTCAGAGCACGTTAGCCAAGAGCCATCTTTTACTTGGGTTGACCAGATCTCAAGAGGAGCACTTTAAAACCCTCAAGAGAATTTTTAAACAAAATTAAGGAGCTTGAACAAGTTTTTTATTCCTTTAACGGAACGTTGCTTAAAACGAGTTCAAGCTTTCTTTCAAACTTGTTAAAAATGAGCGAAACTAGCGATCTCAGCAGTGATATAAAAAAACTCTTTTTCAAAAGTCGGATGTACTTTCGTATAAAGTCGCTTAATAAATCATTAAAGCATTAATTTAGTCGGGTAAGTCAAATGCAAAAGATTTAGTCATTCAGTACATTGCACTAAAAATCCTTCATCCACCAGAGCGCTGCACAGTGGTTCAGTTGTATGGAGCAACGGTCAAAACTCGTTTTCTCGGAAACTAAATGACATTTCGCAATAATATTTGGCACACTTGTTACTCTTTGTCCAGGCTAGATGGGTAATGAAAATGGGTGAAATCGAGTTAAAACTGTGCTTGCCTTCCATATAGAAGTATTTTTGGAAAATACGAAAACTGCGATATTTAAGTAACTACTGCAGCAAAATTACTATAATTACATCGGACAATAACCACGCTGGCCTCCCATGTATTGATCTTTTCAAAAGATACAAATTCTACGATATTTTACTAAACTTATATATATATATTTTTTTGTTTCTTTCCACTGCTGTACCACTCAGGGGAAACCAGAACTCAAACACTTAATTAATAATTAATTAATTAATTTTTTTTTTAAACAAGCCTTCATTAGTTGTTAAAATACTAAAAAGTTAAATTTAGGGCACAATTTTTTGTGGAGTTATTTCTTTCCATGAAAGTAATACACGTTATTAATATGAACCAAATCGGACCAAAAATACGAGTTTTCAAATATCTCCACACCTGCGCCACCTAGCAGATTAGTTCAACTTTCATATTGCATTGTCATCGGTTTCTGAGCTAAGTTTGCAGTTCCAAGTCTCTATCTTATCGGGAAGTTGGTTAAAATGGATTTCAAGATTTGATTACATAGGTGAAAGTAAATAAAAGCTTCTAAAAAATATATATGTATTTAGCTTAAGGTTCGGCTAGTATGTATTGTGCTTTATGATTTGCTGAAGTAGTTTTAAAAATATAAAAAATCCTCCTAACGCAAATCTAACTTTAACATAAAAATCGTTTCACTTAATAAATCGTTGAAGAATTAGTTTAATCGGGTAAGTCAAAATTAGTGCAACAGATTAAATTATTCAATACATTGCATATAAATTCTTTCATTTTCTGTTGTAGTATATATCCTATAAGGTAACAAAAAAGTAGGAAGTCTACTACTATTTCGTAAATGGGTTTCATTTATTCCCCGATTCTCACGTACTTCCAAAATACAACATTGAGCTAAGGGCGTACAAGTTGGCGCTGTCACAACGTACAACACCTGTATTATTGCATCATGAAGAATTCGTTCCCTACTAGTGTTTGGACTCAACTAAAATCAGTTAAGATTTACTCCGGTTTTAAAAAAAAATTGAAATCTACTCCTCTACTCCGCTGGACTTCAAATCTATTCCGTTTTTTTCATTTATGTTATGCCCCTCTTGGGGCCGTTTTTTGAGTGTTCACCACTGGTTTCAGTGAAAAGATTGAAAAGTAGCCAAATTTCACTGTTAAAAAGTAACTCTTTCATAGCAATGCGTCAATAAATTAACTTCGTTATTTTTTGACGTATGGCTGTACAAACTGGCGGATGCAGAACTTTACTTAAGTTGTTAAAAAATATATCTGTGTTCGAATGGAAAAGTAGCTTATGTCGAAAGGCCGGCTTTAGTATAATGCGGCATTCCCTTTATTTTTTAAACGACAAGGAATTTTTTGATCAGACTTAAAAAGAATATTGACTTGCTAGTATCGGAAATTTTTCTTGCACGTTTATTTGCTAAAAGTTGTTTAACGGCTTAGCGCCCGAAAGTCATTCGCAATCGTATGCTGCGAATGCCGATTTATACTAAAGCCAGCCTTTCGACATAAGCTACTTTTCCATACGAACACAGATATGTAGAATGAAATTTATATAAAGTAGAAAAGGTTTGCTTTTTAAAAAATTAAGTGTTAGATACGTTCTACTTCATAGAAAATGCTAAAAATTACCTAAATATGTAACATATTATCCTTGCATTGCCTCGCGTTCTTATTTTGTATAAATAGAAAATATTTTAGTCAAACAATTAATGTCAGAAACAAAAATAAAAAATTCAATCTAGTACGGAAAATTTGTTTTTGGTCCGATTTTTGCAGCGATTTAGTAGTGAATCGAGGTTTGAAGGTCCGAACACTGTTCTTTATATTTGTACTGTTTTATAAACCTCAAACCGCAGTGTGGACACCAATAGTTAGTGATGTGGTTAAGTTCGATTCGAGATGGTTAACTTTTTGGTGGGGACATGGTATTAGTGTTCACCTCGTGCTCGCTGAACTGACATGAGACTCATCAGTTCAATAATGAACAACACGAGGTCGAAAGTGGCCCAGTTACCACCCTGTATATTGTAGTAGGTTAAATTCCTACCAATCTTTACCCGACCCGTTATACCTAACGCATGCCCGGCATGAATAGATTCACTCCACGACATCAACCACCTCTGCACATGCCCACTCAAGCTCACCCCGCAAACATCATTATCCTTCCGGTTCAACCCCCTTGAAACAGCACGTTTTCTGGTCCTACCGTTAGCTGAGCTTGACGATAATGATAGATGTATTTACAAATTGATTTAGGCCGGCCTTAGTGGTGCCACTACAATAACAACAAAAGTGCGCCCCACATTTCCTTGCTAATTCGTTGGCCATGCAGCTTTCCGCAACGTCGCTGTGTCCTAGAAACCAAATTAGGCCTATAAGAGAGTATTTCAAAGTTGCTGTGAGGACAGATTGTCTAATCCTAGACCACCAGTTTCGAGTACATCACCATTACGTTCAAGGCCCTGACCACCGCTTGGCCATCAGAGTATATGCTTACCTCCCTAACTGACGTCTACATAGACCATTAGTTGGTCCTTTATTATTATTATTGTTGGGCATATTTGTGTATATCTTCCCCTTCAATACCAACGTGTCCCGAAATCCAGAGGACCCAAACTCTATTGGTTAGGCCAATAGTGTTCAGAAGTTTCAGCTGGTGATATAATGAACCTACAAGGACCTTCAGAAGCCGGGAGGATAACCCTATCCTTCAACGTATGCTACAGAAGTAAGGTCTGCGGCCAGTATAATGCTTCCTTAAATAATGACGAAAAGGCCACCCTGGACGCTTAACTGGGAAATTTGCGAATTCATCTACGATACCGCGAAGTCAATCAGGCTGAGCTGAATCCACGCCAAAGGGTAATCTCATCTAACTTGAATAAGAAGGTTAAATTGTTCATGAACCGAGTCTGCTGGTGACTCGTTGGACTCCATCTAGAAAATACACCTAATAGGGGGCAGGGTCGACAAACTCGGTGCTATAAACACCCTGCTGTTTTTTTCTGAGGACCTTCTGGAAGAAAAACGATCCCTTGGTATAGGCGTAGTATTACCAATCATGCTGCGGGCAGCTTCGCAGGTGATCAATCCGATTCTAATAGCAATAGGGGGTTAAGTTAGGTGGTATAGCTAAGGTGGTTACTTAGACCGTGAGCGTTGGTCCTTTGTGATACCACTGCAAACGGTAACAAAGTTTCGCAGGCGACAGATGCCAATTCCGGTGAGCTCCTCTGTACAAGCTTGAGAGTACGAACCCAAGTACCTAAGCCGATATATAGCAAAAGTTTTGAGATGATTCCATCTCGCCGTCCTGCATGCAGCTGCGACAAAAGGGGTCTGGTGTGATATTTAGTCTCACTGCGTGAAGCCGGTAGGACTATGGCCTGCCAGTCAACCCACCAGAACCGAGAAATAGTCGAGAGAATTCCAACTCGGTCTTTTCTTGCAGCGATATCACTATGACCTGGCACCTACAGAAGTCTGTAAAAGTAATATTACGACGCGACAGAAAGTGAATTAAGGCATTACCCAACAGGTTTAGAGTTCACTTCCTTTACCGGCATCGCACACAACAACAGCCAATCGCCTGCTTCCTTGATAGCAGCAAGCTCCGTCTGAAAAACACTACAATTATCTGGAAGCCTCAATTTAAGGTTGATGGAGATCTCCCTGGAAAACACCACGTCTACCGACACTTCGGTCAAGTCTCGACCCATTCGTGCAAAAGTTCACCGATGCCTCTTTCCAACCACTGCCCCCTATCCACTCATCCTTTAATGGAAAAAGAGGTAGCTGGTGCTAGGCTAGTCTTGCAGTGATCCGTGTTATCAGAGTTGAAATCGAAGCCCCCGAGAATACTAGAGTGTGCTTAGTACTGAATCATATACCGCTGAGCAGGATGAAGTATAATGTAATCTTCATTATCAGATTGCGCGCTCTAGGTTACTGAAAAGAAACGTCTAAATAGACACCCCACTTATATAAAAGCGCTACCTCCCAACTTGGTTAATGTTGTGGTGAACACTTAGTTAATGATAGCTGCTGAAGTAGCTAATGTTATGGTTACCATGTAGTTAATGATAGTTGCTGAAGTGGCTAATGTTGTGGTGAACATGTAACTAACGATGGTTGCTGAAGTGGCTAATGTTGTGGTTAACATGTAGCTAAAGATAGCTGCTGAAGTAGCTAATATTATGGTTACCATGTAGTTAACGATACCTACTGAAGTAGTTAGTGCTATGGTGTTTATAACCACAATTTTTTTAAGTAAATTGTACAAAAAGTAATTTTTTCATTATTCATTTATTTATTTCAATAACATATTTAAAAACATAAATATGACCGCTTTCATAATGACAAAATAATGTAGTATTAAAATTTATTAAATAATAAAATATTAATTTAAATAATCAGATCAGTGAGTAATTCAATTAATTATTGTTATTTCTGCTGTTAAAATGTTTAAAACTATGTCATTTACTAATTACTAAGCTTTTATAAATAGGTAGGTAGGTAGGTTTTTTGTTGTTAAAATTCCAGTATGCAAATTTTAATATAAAATTATTAAAAAAACTATTGTTAAAATTTACTTTTTACACTATTTACAATTATTTACAAATTAATAAAGGTAGTCGGGATGTTTTGTATATGCCCTTGCATGTGTATTTGTGGTTTTTGGTAGAAAAAGTAGTGAAATTTCTTACAGCAATACAATATAAAAGTTTACTTCATTACCTACCAAAAACCACAAATACAGAATTCAAGAGCATATCAACTGCTAAGTGGAAGATCGACCTATCTCGGCAGCCAGCTCGAAAACATCCTATCTCAAAAAACTTTTCAATTCGTTTTTTAGAATTCGTTTCAAAAACGTCCTATCTCAGCACATTTTCAATACATTTTGAAGTGAGATAGGGCCTTTTTGAACCGAACTCGGAAGCGTTTTTTAATAAAATTCTGAAATAGGGCGTTCTTGAAAAGTTTTTTGAGATAGGGCATTTTCGAACTGGCTGCCGAGGTCGATCTTCCACTCCGCAGTCGATATACAAAAAATCCCGAATAGCCGTATTTAAATAACGTTTTTGAAATTTAGATTGGAAAGTTATTAAATTTTTATGTTACTTTTTTTTAGAGATTAATAATAAGGTAATTAAATTAATTATTGTTAGATTTGTTATTATGTTTAATTTTTTTTTTTATTACAATTTGTTTGTACCTATTGTGGCTTAGGAACACGTGCTTTCTGATTTCCGCAATGAGGTCAATTTTGGGCATACTCACAAACGCATCTGTTGGAAAAATATAAATGCATTACTTCCTGAAATAAGTCAAATAAACAATTAAAACATATTTACCGAAAACTAATTCTATTGTTTTTAGCCCCAGAAGTGGAGCTTTGTTGGCTTTGCCCTCATAATTGTATGAAATGAGTAGAGTGTCGGCAAAAATGCTTCTCAACACGTGTTTCACACAACCCTTAGCACCCTTCAATTTTAAAATTATGTTCAGCTGGAAAAGATTATAAAATTTATAAATACTAGATATGTACATAAATGCAATTATAAATATAAATGTAAATAATAAAATATAATATATGACTACATAAACGAAATATAAATTAACACCAATCGAAAGATCTTATTTAAAATAGTAAAACTGCATCTTTAACTAAAAATCGTCAAAATCTTTCACAGACAAGCAAAATATCATATGTTTACAGAGCGGTAAGTCACAGCAAAAACTGTTATTTAAAAGAAAATATTTAGTTGTTGAAAACAAATTTTTCAAAAGTTTGTGAACAGCGAAAAAGTAATTATATAATAAGAGCGTTCCAGATCGTCTACGATTTGCAGGATTTAGTCCAAAGTTGTTCCCATACGCCACGTTCACATAAGGTTTATCAAAGGCAGAAACAGCTGTTCCTGTAAAACCTGCAAATCCTAGAGTACGGGAACAAGCTAAATATGTATTGTTTTTTAATTATAATATAGTTCTCTATGACGGTAAAATATGTTTTGTTGACATATGCTGTTTTGCGTGTTCTTGAAAGATAGAGTTAAGTGGCTCATAGTACAACAAAAATCCTACAAACCATTTCCATAAATTTTCATGCCCATTTCCCGCTTTTTGATACGATTTGTAAAAATATTTCGAGTATGGAATTTTATAGTCCACTGAATTTTATTATAATAAGATTTAAGTTTTAAGTTTCTACAAATTTGCGGCATTTTTTAGATTTTCTTTTGTGTGATTGAGTTTATTTTTGTATGGGAGAAAGTAAGCCAATCCGTTCACAAAAAAATCGCATTTGTGAAAATTTCAAACTTGCATATTATTATACTAAAAATCAGTGGGCTACAGAATTGCACACTCAAAACATTTTTAAAATTCGTATCAAAAAGCTGGAAAAGTGCATGAAAATTAAATTAAATTTTATCGAATTTTCCTATTATTTGTACAAAGTTTGGAACTTTGGTTTTTACGATTTTTGTTATACATACTATAAACCAAATTTTAATAAAAAAAAATTGCATACATATGTATATACGAATAAAAATTAATATGAGTAAAATAAAATGCATATATACAACTAATATGATATATACATACATTTGTATATGTGTATAAAAAACAAAAAAAAAATTAGCAAAAATTACCATCGCATCGGAGTGTGGTTTGTTTCCCAAAAGATTCTCCAAAGTATTTAACTTTTCCTGGGATGATAGTGGAAGCATACTTTGAAGCAAAGTATGCTCTTTACTAATAGCATCTCCAGTGATTCGGGAAATACTTTGGTGAACTTTCGAGGTCACCACTTTGCACTCTCGCAGTAGCTGCCCTTGAGCTTGAACTTCCGCGCGTTCGGGCATCTGAAAAAAAAATTAAATTATTAAACAATAATTTTAGCATTCATAAATATGTACATTGATATAACCTTTTCGGCCAGAGCATTTGCTATTCCGTCCACCTTTGACTCAACCCTTCCAATGGCGGCCATGACGCCATCAAACATTTCTTTTTGCCTCTCCAGCAGGTGAGACAAGGTAAATTGTTGACCTGTGTTGCTTGTTGTTGTTGTAGTGGCTACACCCGTGTTGGTGGTTACTGTTGGCTGGGAGACAAAGCGCTCCTCGTAAGGCAGTGCCACATGAAAGCGCTTTCTATGTAGGGCTACATCTGAAAGCGCAGGAATGTTTGATTAAAAACTATTAAACATATTGTAAATGTATATGTATGTATATTTTCGAAATACCTGTGTTGCTCGTGCGTGGTGGAGAGAGCGCTTCGGTATCTCCCAGGAACAGTGGTGACAAATCCATTGCTTCAAGAGAAGGAAAAAAAAAGATTATGCAGAATCGGAACTAAAATAAACTTATTCGTATCAGGAATCCAAAAATAAAAATTCTACCTTCATGTTAAACTGTTACTACTGCGAATTATGACAACTACCAGTGGTTGAGTTCACTACTTCATAGCAGCAGTGGCACGGAAACGTGGATCTGCTATTGCAACTTCTCTACTTGAATAGATGAGAAGCAGTGTCAGAATCGGGAAACACAAGAAGGCCTTTCTTGTTTTAATTAGTGCTATGTTTCGTTGAGGCTATCATAATATTGTTGTATGTGCTATTACTCTGACTACAAATATCACTTCGTTCATATTTTAGTTCTCCTACCTGATCTGTGCCTCAACGAAACATAGAACCAAGTAAAACAAGGAAGGTCCTCGTGTGTTTTCCGATTCTGGCCGTGCTTCTTATCTATTCAAGTAGAGAAGTAGCAATAGCAGAGCAATGTTTCCATTTCCACTGCTGCTATGAAGTAGCAAACCCAATCACTGTTGTTGAACTGTGCACTACACTTTGTAAACTATGGCTTCCAGAATGACCGCATTCACCAGTCCTAAATTTGAAAATATATGCACATAAAAAGGTATCGCATAATCGTAAGAAAGACTGTTTTCCAAAACATATCAGTTTTTAAGCGCACAACCATGAAATTCCAATTTACAACTTGTTGAACTGACTCGTTTTGGAAAACCTCCAAAGGCTGACCTACTACACTTTTTACATATGTAAACACTGCACTTTCTTTTGTTGTTTACATTTGCACATAATTAGCCTGTTCCCGTACTTCACGATTTGCAGGATTTGCAGGTTTTCCGGAACAGCTGTTTTTGCCTTTAATAAGCCTTATGTGAACGTGGCGTACGGGAACGACTTTGGACTAAATCCTGCAAAACCTGCAAATCGTAGACGTTCTGGAACGCACTAAATAAGCCTGTTCCAGGTACTTCACGCTTCGCAGGTTTTTAGAGGAAGCTGTTTCTGTACGCCATAAGGTTTATTAATTGCAAAAACAGCTTTTCTTTTGAAATGTGCAAATCGGGAAGCACCAGGAACATGATTAATGTAGGCAGTTGCAGCAGAAGCAACGTTTATTCGTCGCATGAAAACTTACCGAATAATGTATGCAGCGCTGTTTATTGGTGGCGGCGTTGAAGGTGGTGGATATGCTGGTGTGGAGCCTGACTGGAGGTGGCGTTGATGTTCCGTGGTAGCAGGGTCGAAGATAAATTTAGAATGAAAAACGCAAATTTGTAAATGCAAAATTATCAATTAAAATATACAAATATGTGAATAATTCTAATACATACCTTAATTATATGATTAAATCGCAATGTTTCGGCAATCTAAAAGAAAAAAATTCCATTATAAACAATGCAAATTGTTAAAACGTTCTCTTACCTTCAAATGTTTTTGCAAAATTAACGCTTTTATTTACAGCCTACTGTGATCAAAGATGTCAAACTTTTGCTAAAGTCACAGCCTCTGTGATCAAAGCTGTCAAATTTTGCTTCATTTCCACTTACTCGCTCTAACGCATAAAATTCTTATTACAGTAAAAATTTTTATTAGGTCCGGTTCTCTCACTCAGAATTTTGTTTTGACAGTCGGAAAAATAAATTTGTAAATGTGTGGGTAGCATAGCTAAAAAGTTGCGAGTGTGTGTGTAAATCTGTTGAATTTCAGGGGCAACTGGTTAGCTGTGGCTTGCAGGGTCATGACTTTGCCTGGATTCGATAAATTTTCATGTCAAATCAAAACCTTGCGTCAAATGGAAAAAATCATTCGAAAAAATTTTTTCCTACAAAACGGACGCAATTTTCCTTTTGATATTTGCATTGAATTTTTCAAATACCGGCATAGAATACGAAAAAATAGCTACGAAATCAATTAATTGTGACGAAATATGGATAGCGGCGAGAAAAATTACCATAAGTTGGGCAAACTTTTTGGCGTTTCGCGCACGATACAGAAACATACAGCTCGACGTCTGAGCGTCGCCGACCAAGAACGAGAAGAAAGTGAGTTCAAGCGTTTTCAAGTACTTAAAGAATATCGCCAACATCGCATCTCCGCTTTGGGTGCCAATCAGCGCTACGTCATTGAGATCGCCGCCGATTTACTGAATATAGATGTAGACGAATTAATTATGGGTTTAGTTGACGATCAGTCCTTTGTGGAACTACTAAGTGGCATATTCGAGGACAAAGGACCACGCGCTTGCATGATTACCTATACAAATATGAAAGGTTATCCCGCCGAATCGGGTCGGTATCAGGATAAACTGAAAAATACGAACATAAAGAGGGCCATTTGCCTGAAGAGCGATCTTGTTAAAATGAAAGGCGCTTGGGTGATCATATATCGCAATAATAATAATAAAGCCATAGAGAATCGTACCGTCTCCGACGAGGTGGCTATGTTTCGTTGGGCCACCGAGGATGGCAATTGTTTGTATGTCATCAAAGAGTTTGTGAAACGCGTGCTGACCGCATCCTTGGAAGTAGTCACAGATTTTGGCGTTGCGGAACCAGAGCAGAAGCGCAAATTCTTTCACATACTCAATATGTATAATATATTTTTACAATCGTCTGAGGCTACGGTATCGACGCGCGTTAATTTCGAAGTGTCACATGAACTTTTCAAGGGTTTGCTGTTGGTGAAATTTCAAATCGAAGCCAGTGCCAAGGATGTGGGACGTGTACGATTGGTTGAGCGCTATTTTGCGCAGTGGTTGCGTCAAATACAGGGCATATTGGTAGAAAGCAAGCAGATATTACGCGATCCACCCGATGTTGGCCCACTACAAATGCTGGTCAATTGGCGACGGCAATTGGCGCGTTATACATCAATTATGGAATTTGTATCATCGAGGGCCTTTAACAATCACAAACAGTGTTTGATATTGTCGCGTTCCTCGAAGCTACTGAAGGTGAATGAAGATTCGTTAAACTTAGTAGACGACAAATACTTAGAACTCTAGCTTTGTTTGCCATTGTTTACTTAACAGAAATGGGCGGAAATCGACAACCAGGTGACCTTAGTGCTGAACGAAGCCAAGGATAATGTGCGGTATATGTCATCACTGCAGAAGTTTTGGGATCCCTTATATAGGTAATGTAAAAAATGCACCACTTAAATTCATCTCTAGCACTCCTCGCTCACGTCTCCTTTTATGGCTGACTATTTAGGTCTTCGCCGGATGAAATCATTAGCAGCCTGCCCGGTTTGATGGTAGCGATACGTAACGTCTCGAAAACAGCGCATTACTTCAATACCCCCAGCAATGTGACTGGCCTTTTTGTGAAGATCTCAAATCAATTAACATTGACAAGTCGCCGATATCTTACGGATAGCGATCGCATGGTGCTCTGGAATCTACCACCAAATAATGTTATAGCAAAAATAAATAAATGCAATGAGATTATCGAATACTACAAGACCATTTATTTGCAAACCGTTGAAGATATGGCCTTCGCAAATGAAAATCCTTGGATTGTCTCAAAGGTTTATACATTTACTTGCTTGCAGAAGTTTCAAGCGCGTCTCGAAAAGGTGTGCAGCTTCTTATGCGATACAACTTCTTTTTTCGATATAAAGTCTCTCTCATATTTTTTGCAGATCAGAGATATATTCAATACAGAGTTAATATATTCAGTGTTGGATCGCATCAATATCAGTGGTATGGAGAAATTCAATGCGCAGATTAAGGGCGCGCGCAGTACCATCGCTTCGAAACCATACGATCCGCTCGATTACCGCATTGACTTGTTCAATAAGGACTACAATGCCTTCATCAAGGAGGTCGAACAGGCAGAGGTGGGCATGCAACAATTCGTAAAACAACAGATCGCTGATGTACCCATTGCCGAATCGGTAATATTGATATTACAACGTTTTGAGCATTTGGGCTTGGAGTGCTTATGCTTGGATCGGCGTTACCTGGAAGTTGTTGAGATGCTGGAAAAGGAAATGTTTTTGCTGAAGGATGTGTAAGTGGCATTTAATGAACTAAGATTTTATGTTCTAAAAACTTTCCAAAACTCTTTCCGAAGCTACAATGAGGAGCGTGGTAATCCATTTATAGGGCGTAATATGCCACCAGTTGCTGGTCGCATCACTTGGATACGTTCGATTTTCAAAAAGATCGATGAACCGATGAAGGTGCTCAAGTATAGGCAGTGCGTTTTGGCGCACAAGAAGGCACAGCGTACAGTACGCTATTACAACTATATGAATGGAATCATATGCCACTATGAGATGACCTATCACAAGGCTTGGTATGATTATGCTGAAGAAGTGCGTTGCCTTTTGAATTCGCCCATATTGCTGTGTCACAAGGAGTATGCCGAGTACACAGTCAATCTGGATCCGGCTATTAGACAATTGATCAAGGAGACCGAATGGATGTGGAAGCTGAAATTGGGTAAGAAGAATGTGTATGCAAAATTTTATAAAGAACACAGTAGGTACTCCTCGAAAAAGTAAAGGTTAGTTTAAAATGAATCAGGATAACGTTTGTGTAGGACTTAAGATGACTGTGCATAGCCTCCAAAACTATTTTTAGCAGAATTGCGTTTTTAGCTTCTTACCCATGGTAAAGTTAAATTGTGTTAGATGAACTGATTTTATCATTAGTTCGCTTCGTGATCTCATAGGTCCAGGGGAAAAGATTCCTTTAAAATCTTATATCTGAATGTCCTTGAATGATCCAGACCTTTTAACAAATCCTGACAGCCCTCAGCGACACAGAGCTTAAGCTATTCAGGTTCAAGAAGTTTGGAGCGCTTGTTGGAAGCTATGAGTCCCCTTTAGTTCAGAGAGCAAAAAGCGACACAAGCGAAAATTATGCAATACATAAAGAAGAATAGGAAGGAGAGGTAAATTTTCAAGAGAAAGAAAGGAGATGCAGAAAGACGGAAATACAAAGTGCTTGTGATGCTGACAGGCAGAAATGACGCACCGCAAATGAAGCACACATCCAGATAGCACTGGGGAATGGAGAATCACTTCTAAACCTTTTCCAATGGCAGCAAAGGTGGCGCGCTTGAAGAAGAAGAACTTACAGCAATGTATAGAGATGAAGCTTATGTTCGCCTCCGTGCCAAATACGAGGTGAGAACAGAAAAAATGAGGCCTAAGAACAACAAAGTCCCTGGGGCCGACGGAAAACCAGCTGTATGTTTCAAGCTTGCGTCAATTAATATGAGCCTATGCAACAGCGTGGACCAAGATCTTTGGGAACTGGCTGGAAATGGTGGCTACTAAAAATGTGGAAACAACAGTAGTTTTGACTACAGATAACATTCCTCGAAATGGTATTACAAATTGTTAATGCCAACTTTTAGAAGAAAAAAAAATCAGAAATTACTGCAAAATTTTCACATTGACCGAAAATATCCAGACCCCGATTCCATCCCAAATCGAGTGCTCAATCTTAGCTCCAGGGCCAGTCCAGATGTCTCTATCCGTTCGTTCAAGGAGTGCCTTGGCGAAAGTACGTTACCCGATATATGGAGGCAGCAGTGCTTAGTACGCCCACCCAAGGCTAGAAACCCATCGGGAGGTTCTTCAACATATCACCATTTATATATAAGAAGCGATGGAAAAAGAGCGTACAATTTACAAGAGTAGCTAGTAGCTGCGAAAGGACTATTAGACGCGAAATTCGCTTTCAGGAATGGTATACCCACACAGGGTGTTGCCATGTTGGTTGAAAAGCTGGCAGAAGAGGCAATCAATGTGAAGCGATGTAAAGGTGGCTGACAGAAACAGGCCCTGAGCAGGCACATCAGACATCTAAGATAGTTTTGAGCAGCAGCAGGAAGTTACGACAAGTGGCCACACTTAGTGTCGGCGGTACAAACGGACGCTCATTCCGAGTATAAGAAAATGGATTGACAGACAGTGTAGAAGATATCATGCTTGAGTCAAAGAAAACTATGTACTAAGGCAATTGCGTCAAGTGGAATAATATATTCATAGAGAGTCAATAGTACTTTCCCCCAACCACAAAGCAATATCTAAGAGTAGTTCTACGGAACCAGGGAAGCGGAGCAGATGTGGTTGAGCCAAAAGGCGAACTCCGACTCGCAGTCCGCGGGTAGACAACGAAAGCCAGGGTGATCACAATGCAATGGAAGGACAAAGGTGACAAGGACCTCTAAGCACTTGGGATGAGCAACTAGCGCTACTTCTCAAAAGATAAGCGATTGGTCTCACCCCCAACTAGCAACACTGTGTCGGTGCCTTGGTTGAATCTAGCTAGAAATTCCAATGATAAGGGAACATTTAAAGTTGAGAATTCTTTCATCGAAATATTCTTCTGTTTGGAGTAAAGTTTCGCGTTCTTGATGGCATTATACTTCTGCGCTCTACAGCTGATTCCCAGGGTTCAAGCTGAAGGCTAAAGCACAACTCAAAGCGGCGGTAAAGATCTGCGACCGAGTCGGCAACACCAACCTCAGCAAAGAAGAGGAGGCCCGAGAGGCCTTCGACTGTGGCAGGGCCTACTTATGCCAACGGACCTTAGATCGGAAGTAGGTGGTGCACGTCTCAAAATCGAGAAGGGTAACCAGAGCCACCTCTCCCACAAATAATAAGCCAGCTGCGGCTTAAAATACGGCCGATAGAAACGACAATCTTTAATTTCATAAGTTCTGAAATCTACTGGCCTTATTCATAAAAAATAAAGACATTTTCATAAAAATTTTCGATTTATAAAAGAGTTTTAGTCTTCTTTTTTATGAATTTGGGTGTATATTATAAATTAATGTTCTTTTTTTATTTTCCAGAGGTTCCCAATATAGCAAGCGTTATAACCTACTGCAAAGACCGGATTCTCGATCCAGCCCTTCAACTCAAAGAAGTTATTAAACGTTACGATAATTTTCGACAATCAATTTCGTCAGTGTTCATAAATATTATGCGTTTTCGCTTGCAAGAAATTTCCATAATGTTCAAACCAGCTCTGTTATCTATTACCTGGATCTCAGAAAATCTTGAAGATTTTGTGCAAGCTCTTGACGATGTGAGTGTGCTTATTCCTCCGGGGTCCGTTTTTTTCAAATTATAGCTTCATATTTCTCTCCCTTTGTAGAAAGTCGATGAAGTTGAGACATTCTATAGGATTGTGGTGAATATTGAAACGATACGCGTAGTTAGGGAAATGGAAAATTTGACCGATTTCTTATACGTTTACCAACCCAAAGAGCCCATCTCATCGGAAAAGTATCTAGAAATGAGCAATAAATTGCGTGCAGAGTTAGGTATGTGACGACTTAGTTACGCTCATAGCGAAGTTTACTTCTTAACCTTGATAACACTCTTCTTTGCAGAGTCCATCATCGAGCGCAATTCGGTGTGCATTGAACGTGCCGTTATTGATCTGATTAATATGTTTGTGGATTTATTGGAATTCGGTCTAGTCGATTCGAAAGGACGACGCGTTTACCAATTACCATTGGAGAAGCTCAACGAAAATAATTGGCGCGTTGAGGGAAATTATCCTATTGACAAATGGGATTGGATACAATTTCAAAAGATCTATCGCACAATCTACCTGGTTCCAGATGATGCACTGAGAAGTCTGCAGTTCAGAAATTATGAAGGCTTGCGTTATGAATTGAGTCATTTACGTACTGATTGTATGGATCTTTTTTCATACTATAATTCAAGAATGATTTTGACATTGGTGCAATGCTCTAAACGTTCTTTGGACTTTGTGCGACACAAAATATTGAGGTGAGTAATGAAGCAAGCGTCTTTAAAGCGGAAGTTGTTAGGAGACGAGGAGGAGTTTTAAGACAGATAGACAGATAGATAGTATAGGTAGTAGCTGGGTTGTAACTAAGTTGAAGTACCCTCGCAACGAATTATACAGAGTCCAGAAACTCTTCTCTTGCAATGAGTGAACCTCGTCAGCATAGGAAATTAACCGGCGGCCTCTCCTAGATGTCGTTGACGACGACGATCCAGAGGAAGGGTGAGCGAACTTCCTGACTCTTTTGTATCGGAGCTTGATGAAATGTTCCCGATTCCTAGATTAGTCAGGCTTTTCATATCGATTTTAGTAGCACGGAATTAAAAGCGTCCTCGATCTCGATGAAGTCATCAACCACGAAGCCTTTGTTCTTAAAAGATATTTCTTTAACTATAACAATTGAATACAAGTCAGAGCCCACTGATCTGCCCTTAAAATAGAAAAAGTCCGTCAGCCAAGGTCCTCAATGAGGGAAAGAGGGGCTGATAGGTCTTAAATCCTTAGGAGAGGCTTTTCCCGCCTTGGGTATAAGCGTCACATCCACATTCTTCAAAGTCTTCGGATACATATATCCACTAATAGACCGAAGCCGGCGGCGTTTTTCCGGAAGTTTACGAGAAAAAACAGAATGGTTTCACAGGGTTGAATAATTTTTGAGAAGAAGCTTAAAGCGAATCTTTAAACCTAACATCTTCAGAAAATCTAGAAGTCTTGGAAACTCAAAGCACTTAGAAAGGAGGTGAGCAGACTTTTTAACAAAGCTAAGCAAGGTGTTGGGCTGAGTATCCACCTAGTCTGCCAAAGTAAGGAGATCAGTTTCAGAACCTCCCGTGAGAGTGTATCATCGAGCTAGAGATCTGAGAGCTTAGGCGATCACTCGTATGGCCGCTGCATTTATTCAATAACTGGGATATGTAGTACTTCAGTACTGACGAAGTACGTTGAGGGACACCTGCTCTATCATAGGTTCCATAGGCGTGAAGAAGTGAGCGGGTAAACTTCATTTCGATATTCAGAAGAAGAGAATACTCGCTAGCTTAATCATGCAGGCCTAGTAGTTAAGGCTTAACTTCTCTCTGAACACTCTGAAGCAGATTCCTTTGGATCGCAACCAGCGCGTTCACAGGGTGGGAGGGTCCGAAAGCACTACTGCCCTATATAAATTGACTACGGAGATGAAAAGTGCTTTTGAGTATGGACATAAACTTGCTGGGAACTCCAAAATTAGACCAAGTATTTTGAAGAGTAGACTGCACAATAGATCCGTTAGGTGGCAGTGCATATCTAGTTTAATGTCTATTTATCTTCCTTATTAAATTCTTATATGCATCTTCTCTACCTTAGAACGAACTGGCGTACCGATCCAATGCAGCCGATACTCTACACAACTATGGATATAGATTTGGAGACGGGTTGTGCGATAGATCCCAGTCTAGAATCGATGCAAACCCACTTTCATGCAGCCATACAAGTTTGCACCGAGATAAATTATTTCATTTCGACCTGGGGCCGACAAGCAAAAACACTGGAGCGACGCGTGAGGCGTGTAACTGTCGGTAAGTGGATTTATTCATAAATCAGAGACGACCAGATAAAGCTTTCACCCTGCGCGCCCTCATATGAAATCAATGGACTTACGTATTTTATTTAGGTCGATTTAATATGAGCGCGCACAGGGTAAAAGCTCTACCTGGTCGCTGCTGGTTTAAATCAATTGCGGCCGAAACATATTCCGGGCAATAAGCTTTTTAACAGCGCGATTCTGGCAATTTTCTTTCAATTCACCACAGTCTTTCGAAAGACAAAAATCTTTCGTAAGAAACTGGCAATTCTGGCAATTATCCTGAAAGTTCTTTTCTGTCTTTCAACAGACTAATTGAAAGCTCTGCTAACGAAGGGGTTTTAGCGTTATTTTGTTTGTCTTTTAGCAATATGTTTTCTAAAAATTAAATGAAATAAAAAATATTTTTCTTTTTAAAGCATTAAAAACTATAAATTAAAGGAAAATGTGACAAAAAAAAACAAAAAAATTAAATTAAGAAAAAAAAAGAAAAAAATATATAAAATAAGTTTCTAAATTAAATGATATTAAAAAATGTGTTCGTTTTTAAACCAATAAGATTTAAAATTAGAAACTAAAAGAAAATTAAATTAAAAAAGAAAAAATATAATAGTACATTAAAAAAGAAAAAAATAAAATGCGTTCCTTAAAATTAAAGGAAAATTACATATATCAATAATGAATATTTTTCAAAATCCAAATTCCGAATCTTGTAATACAGTTGAAGATATTGAACATATAATTTTCAAATGTAACAAACATAATAATTCACGTGTTAAATATCCAATACTCAAAAATAGTTCATCATTAATTGAATTTCATCAAAATGCTAATGGTAAAGCATATAAATGCGCTGGGTTTGGGTCCCGCCACGTTAAAACCCCGCCCAATGAAAAGAAGCAAACAGCCTCGGATGAGACCTCCTTTTTCTGATGACGACCACGGCAAACGTATAAAGGACTATGATTTAAGGGTATGCACCTGGAATATCCGGACCCTTAATGGGGAAGGTGCCTCTGCCCGGCTGGTTGATGTCCTCGGGAAGACAAAGGCTGACATCACCGCCATCCAAGAAATGCGATGGACTGGGCAAGGTAACGTAAGCGTGAAGCCTTGCGACGTCTACTACAGTTGCCACGTAAAGGATCGCAAATTCGGTGTTGGATTCGTGGTAGGAGAGAGACTCCGTCGCCGAGTACTGGCGTTCACCCCGGTGGACGAACGTCTAGCCACAATCCGCATCAAAGCTAGATTCTTCAACATCTCGCTCATCTGCGCCCATGCCCCGACGGAAGAGAAGGATGAGGCGTCCAAGGATCTCTTCTATGAGCGCTTGGAACGTACATATGAGCGCTGCCCCGACACGATGTCAAAATCGTGCTTGGCGATTTTAATGCCAAGGTGGCCAAGGCGCCACTGTCGGAAAATTCAGCCTCCACGACGAAACGTCCGATAACGGACTGAGGCTGATCGACTTCGCCGGGGCCCGAAATATGGTAATATGTAGTACTAGGTTCCAGCATAAGAACATCCACCAAGCTACATGGCTGTCTCCAGATCGAAAAACGAGAAACCAAATCGATCATGTTGTGATAGACGGAAGGCATGCTTCAAGCGTTTTGGACGTACGTACACTCCGAGGGCCAAACATCGACTCGGACCACTATCTTGTTGTAGCCAAGATACGAACCCGCCTCTGTGCAGCAAAAAATGTGCGCCCAACAATGCAAGGAAAGCTTAACGTCGAAAAGCTGCAATCACAACGGACTGCCAATTTATTCGCCACTCGACTCACACACCTGCTCTCTGAGAGCACTCTTCAACAATCCGACGTACGCGAGCAGTGGAACCACATTTCCCGATCATTAAGTACCGCCGCCGAAGAAGTAGTTGGATTTCAGCGAGCCCGAAAGAACAACTGGTACGATGAGGAATGTCAAGAAGCCGCAGAGAAAAAAGATGCCGCCTACAGGGCCACGCTGCGATCGGGCGCAACGCGAGCCATGTGGGACCGTTATAGGGAACTGAAGAAGGAAGCGAGACGTATTTGCCGCAATAAGAAGAGAGAGGCCGAAATACGTGAGTGCGAAGAGCTTGAGATGCTGGCCGACAGGAAGAACGCCCGAAAATTCTACCAGAGGGTTAGGCGACTTACGGAAGGTTTCAAGACCGGGGCGAACTCCTGTAAGAACAACAATGGCGACCTAGTGACCGATGTCCAGAATATACTTAAATTGTGGAGGGAACACTTTTATAACCTACTGAATGGTAGCAGCGCTGAAAGTAGTGAGGAAGACGAACCCGAGTCCCCTGTCGATGATGATGGAGTAGCTGTCCCACCGCCTGACTATGACGAGGTACGAATAGCGATTACGCGGCTGAAAAACAACAAAGCTGCTGGAGCTGACGGCCTGCCAGCCGAGCTATTCAAGTACGGCGGCGAGGAGCTGATGAGGTGCATGCATCAGCTCGTATGCAGAATATGGTCAGATGAACGCATGCCCGACGACTGGAATTTAAGTGTGCTCTGCCCAATCCACAAGAAAGGCGACCACGCCATACGCGCCAACTACCGCGGAATTAGCCTTCTAAGCATAGGTTACAAGGTCTTATCAAGCGTATTGTGCGAAAGACTGAAGCCCACCGTCAACGAGCTGATTGGACCTTATCAGTGTGGCTTTAGGCCTGGAAAATCCACCATAGATCAGGTATTCACAATACGCCAAATCTTGGAAAAGACCCGCGAGAATAGGATCGACACACACCATCTATTTGTCGATTTCAAAGCCGCTTTCGATAGCACGAAAAGAAGTTGCCTTTATGCCGCGATGTCTGAATTTGGTATCCCCGCGAAACTAATACGGCTGTGTAAAATGACGTTGAGCAATACCAACAGCTCCGTCAGAATAGGGAAGGACCTCTCCGAGCCGTTTGATACCAAACGAGGTTTCAGACAAGGGGACTCCCTTTCGTGTGATTTCTTTAATCTTATGTTGGAGAAGAGAAATGACTGGCGTGCTGTTTTGGACTCGGCCAAAATCGCTTAGGCGGTTACAGCGCCAAATAAGAAGAAGAAGAAAGCATATAAATCAATCATTAATTTTTTAAAGGATATTGAAATGAATTTATAATTTCAATTTAAAATTGGAGATGGCATTTTAAGCTTTTTTGCTGGCCAACTAATTCTTCCTATCTTTTTTATCATTTTATAAAGAATTAGGAAGTACATAACTTTAAATTACAATAAAAAGAAAATTAAATAAAAAATTAGTTCATAAAAATGAAATGAAATAAAAACAAACAAAATCTGAAAATTACTAAATAAAAAAACAAGAAAAATATGTTTCTAAAAAGTAATGAAAATTAAAAAAAATATTCTTTTAATAGCGATAATATCTAAAAATTAACTTAGAAAGAGAAAAAAAGTTTATAAAAATTAAATGAAATCAAAAAATAATAAATAGTTTTTTTCTTTTTAAAACAATAAAATTTGAAAACTTAACTCGAAAAAAATTAATTTAAGAAAAGAAAAAAAAGTTCTGCTGACCGAGCACTCGAACCTCGGATCTCTCGAATAGCACGCTAGTGCTTTGCTCACTCGGTGCAGTAGCGCGAACAAAATGATATACAACTGCTATCTGTAATAAAAATTATAGTTTAAAAACTAAAACCTCCCGATTATAATTGCCATTCGTACTGTCATCAGGTATGTAACTTGAGAATAGAAATCGCTGCATCTTTTAGGCGCATCAATATTACATAGTTACATCCCGAGCTAATAAAAGGAAGGTAATAATAATCAAAAGAGCTTTTCACCATGAAAGTTGGCAAGGCAGCTTTCGTTTGTAAAACTTTTGCCCCAGAATAAACAAAATCTTTTAAACTATCTTGCCTAATGTCTTTAAATTGTCTTACAAAAGACTTGCAACTAACTATCTTAGCCAGAATCGACCTGTAAAGCTCTACAGATTTGATATGGACGCGCAAAGAATACAAAATAGATTTGATAGCTGAAGATGTATATACATACATAAACTTTTTCTATTGTATTTCTATAGACGAGAATCGTTATGATCGCGCGTATTTTCGCTATGTTGTCGATCACAAGGACATCATTCGTGCAACTACGAATCTAGCGAATGGTCTAATGTTGTACAAGCATGATGTGGATGAGTTTTTAACGGTAAGTAGCACGCTGTAAATGTTTATATTTGTGCCTTACTTTATTACAAAAGTTTTGCTGATCGGTCACTCTAGGAAACCTTTAACAAATTCAAATATTTATGGAGCGCAGATCGTGAGCAAATTATACAGGATTTTGTGGATACGAATCCGTTGACAGTGGATATACGTGATAAATTTATTTATTATGATAAAATCACCACGGATCTGGAAGAAATGCCGGCAAAAAAAGTGATCGGACCAATTGAAATAAGAATGGGTATGTATCTATGCAGATCCAATATACAGATTCCTGATACTATACTATTTTCCCTTCCCTAACAGAAAAGGCTATAGTGAAATATGTGGAGGAATCAAAGAAATGGAAAGTCATGCTGGGTCAATTATTGAGTGCCCAGTACAAGAAACAGTTGGATGAAATGGTCGATTTTATAACTGAAATGGAGATTGTTCTAAGTAAACCCATAAACGATCTGGATGATGTGCGACAGGCTATGAATTGTCTCGAAAAAATACGCGATAACTTTATAACGTAAGTATCTTCATACCTTGGACTATCGTAAAGTCTTTGAACACTAATATACTCCCTTTCTTAGCATGGATATGAATCTACAATTGATTACCGACACTTATGCGCTCTTCTCACAATACAACATTTTTGTGCCGCAAGATGATTATGATAAGGTGGATAGCTTACAATTGGCTTTTAATAAAATGTTGGAGAATGTGAGTTTGTGCTTATTTTAGATTTCACATTAATTACAATAGAAATTTAATTAAAACCTTCAGGCAAAGAAAACTTCTCAACGCATTTCGGACATGGAAGGTCCTTTGCTGCGTGAGCTGAACGAGGGTATTGCTCAGTTTGTCAAAGCTTTCGAGCAATTCAATATCGATTTCGAAGCAAATGGTCCCATGGTTGAGGGCATTTCGGCAAAGGAGGCTAGTGATCGTGTATTCCTGTTTCAGGGTCAATTCGATGAGTTGTGGCGTAAATATGAAATGTATAATAGTGGTGAAAAACTCTTTGGTCTACCAATCACGGACTATCCACTGCTGCATCAGCGTAAACGTGAATTTAACTATCTAAACCGGTTGTATTTGTTGTATATTCAAGTGTTGAAGACCATTGCGGACTATTATGAAATGCCTTGGTCGGAAGTGGATATTGAAAAAATTAGCGCCGAGTTGGCTGACTTCCAAGTGAGGTGAGTGAATAAATCAAATAATTGCATGTGTGGAATAGAAGGCCATCTAAATCGGGGTAATTGCTTTACCGAGCTCGAACTGTTCTATACAAGAGATCAGCTAATTAAATTATAAATCATCATCAGGGAATCCTCTTAATGTACAAATTAAAGCCATAAACCCGAAGGTTCGCTGCCCTTAATAGAACTCTGCCTTTCCTACGAAGAGATAAAAAATGAGCATATATGGCATAAAAATCTACTCTTACTAAGAGGTTACAGATCTTCGCGCCAAAGAATATTTTTTAAAGCCAAGACCTACGCATCCTACCGAGAAATAAAGCCTGGCCTTTTAGCTTTAAACCTCGCCTTCTTCATTGATAGTTTTTAGGGTTATTAGGTCAAATGGTTTTCACTTACTCTCAATAGCTTTCGCATACACCAAACGGGAAGATCTAATGATACGGAACTTTCTGAGACTAAAAAATTAAGTTATGTGAATCCATATAATTTGGCAAAGCTGGAATTGTTAAGAAGCATACAGAGTAAGAATTAAAATAAGGCTTACATCTCCTAGAGAGGATATTGATCTGCATATTATATTCAAGATTCCTAGTGACCCGCATGCATCGTGGGTAGGTCGGCTGAGACCGTCCTGCACACGATCGCGAATTAGACTTAGTTGAGCTCATATACCGCCTACTCTGCGATAGTGCTGTCACGGTGTAGCGCGGCAGTGCCACCCTCTTGCGTAGGGTAATTAAGTGGAATACCTAGGGAGGCGTTCTCTCACCACTTCTTTGAATTGTGATCGTAAGCGACCTGCTAGAAGAGCTGCTGCTTAAAGACTACCGTGCGATGGTCTATGTTGATAAATTTGCACTTTTGGTGAGCGGTATATTTCTGGATTCCCCCTGTTATTTGATCCAAGATTACTTGGACCTCGTCAATCCTGGTGGCGCGGACTTAACAAACAATGTGCGGGAGTAACAGGTGCAATTTACAACCTGATCCCCCATCGATCTTCACTTAAAAGAAGTGGCTATGAAATCGCCAGTCAGACTCACGAGAGTTAGGCCTCGACTTGCCTTTGGAGCTTTCTGTAAATTTCAAGTGATGTTATGTAATAAATATCTTCTAATTGGTCTCTTCCACTTTTTCTAAATATTGTCCTTATTTCGTTATACTTTTCGTTCGCTCAAAGGTGCCGCAAATTACCCAAAGGTATGCAGTCATGGCCTGCGTTTATTGACCTCAAAAACAAAATCGATGATTTCAATGAGACATGCCCACTGCTGGAACTGATGACCAATAAGGCAATGAAAGAGCGTCATTGGGTGCGACTCAATGCACTACTCAAGACCGAATTTGATCCGAGCAGCGCTAAATTCACGCTCGGCAAGTTGCTAGAAGCACCGATCTTGAAATACAAGGACGAGGTGGAGGACATTTGCGTGGGCGCAGGCAAAGAATTGGATATTGAGGCGAAATTAAAGCAAGTGATTGCCGATTGGTCTGTTGTCAATTTGCAACTGGGTCAGTTCAAGAATCGCGGCGAACTCGTATTGAAAGGCCAGGAGACGCTGGACATTATTGCCACTCTGGAAGACAGCTTGATGGTGATGAATTCTTTGGCTTCAAATCGTTACAATGCAGCATTTAAAAAAGACATACAACTGTGGCTATCGAAATTGGTGAATACCGGCGAGATATTGGAAAAATGGTTGATGACACAGAATTTGTGGATTTATTTGGAGGCCGTCTTTGTGGGTGGTGACATCTCGAAGCAGTTGCCACTGGAAGCGAAACGTTTTACTAATATCGATAAAAATTATGTGAAGATTATGTATAGAGCGCGTGAAGTACCAAATGCGGTGGAGTGTTGCACGGGCGATGATACATTGGCAACAAGTCTGACATGGTTGCTGGACCAGTTGGAGACGTGTCAGAAGTCATTGACAGGTATGACGTCATTGAGGCATATACACAAATCTCAGTTGCATTTATATATTTGCCTTTCATTTAGGCTATTTGGAATCCAAACGTTTGCTATTTCCACGTTTCTTCTTTATTTCGGATCCAGTGCTGCTCGAGATACTCGGGCAAGCCTCTGATCCGACAACAATACAACCACATTTGCTTAGTATATTTGATGCAATCGCAATAGTAAGTGTTGGCGATTAGTTTTGGTAAAAGTTTCATTACTAGCAGATATTTTTCGTTTTCTAGGTGGACTTCCAAGAGAAAACGAACGACGTTATGATAGTCATGAACTCCATGAATAACGAAAAAGTAGCCTTCGAAACTCCTGTACAATGCTCTGGCAGCGTTGAAATATGGCTCGGCAAGCTATTAAAAGAAATGCAAGACACAATGCGCACCATATTGGCTAGTATGGCACAAAGCTTAAGCGACCCTGAATTCATTTTCGTGGAAGAGTTCCCCGCCTATTGCGGTCAAGCTGGTTTAATAGGCGTACAATTGCTTTGGACACGCGATTCGGAATATGCTTTGCGTAAATGTCGCACCGATCGGTTAATCATGAAGCGTACGAATGCGAAATTTCTCAATTTACTTAACTATTTCATTGATTTGACTGTGAAGGATTTATCGAAATTGGATCGTATACGCTTTGAGACGATGGTTACAATTCATGTGCATCAGAGGTAAGAATACATATGTATGTAGATCAGAGAGAGCTTTTACTCTGTGTGCGTCCATATAAAACGGTGGTGGGCACCGGCCTGCCCGCGGGCAAAGCTCTTTCAAGCTTTGTATACATTTAGTATAGAAAGCTTGAAAGAGCATTGCCAGCGGGCAAGCTGATGCCCACCACCGATATAAAACCTACAGAGAGCTTTGAAAAGTTCTGTCCGCGTGCGCTGTTTTCAGCATCAGTGATGTAGATGTAGGGTTACTATATAATAATATAATATAAAATGTTTAAGACGTTTAAAAAAGCTCTGATAGGGTTGTAAAAAAGCTCTATCTGGGCTTAAGTAAAATTTAAAATTAAAAAAATACCCTCATAATAATAACTAGTGTTCGCCCAGTGCTTGAAATTCAAAGCCACTAAAATTAAGTTGAGGGAGTTAAGGTGGGTTGAGGTGAATTGAGGGGAGTTGAAGCGAATTGAGTTGAGGGCGAATTTAGTTGAGGTGAAATGTGGTGAGTTGAAGTGAGCAACATAATTTGACATAAAATATCCTTATCTTCAGTTCTTCGCATCTCTATCTATATATGTATATCTTTGTATCTATCATTTTCTTTATCTTTAATTATTTGCTTTATGTTTATGTTTATGCTAATCTTTATCATATGGGAGGCGCAGTTATCTGTCTGGTCAGCGATGAAATCAAAGCCCTCCAGAACTCCACAGTGTCCAGTTTTCGAGCCAGTTAACCACCCTGTGTCCCTGAGCACAATGGCAGTTAGGGCTGCGACAATTCTGCCTGTAATAGCTATAAGCTCAATGCTTAGGAAGATGTTAAGTGCTTGTGTAGGAGTTAAGTTCTTCATGTCCAACTAATACCGATTGGGGCAATCCGCTGTACGCGCTCTAGTCGCTTAGCAAGTGTACCCTTCTCAAGCAGACCAGTAGCTTGTTCCTGTAACAATTCTCTACCAAGGCGAATTCATATTTGAATTCGCCGTCTTGTTCTCTACTGCTAATGGATAGTAGAGAATGACGTATATTTTCTACCAGTAGAGAAATAATCGGTAGAGAAGAGTTACAGAAACGAGCTACAGAGTTCCGTAAAACAAGATAGGCTTAGCTTTGGTTTCATAGAGCCAATGAATTACTTGGGCGAGAGCCCATCTCTTACCAATAGTTCCCCTGTTTTCCCCGTTCCTCGTAGGACAGCAGGTGGACACTCCCCAACGAGGGAAGATCCAGATCAGGGTTCTTACACTTTCTTGTGAACAAGACCAATTCCATCCTGATAATTAGGAAGTAAGACAATCCAGAAATAATTTCAAAGTAGAGTACCCTCAGCCAGTAAAAGCTGATGG